TGCAACTCTGCATATTTTAGGTAAGACTGTCTCCTTCCTGCTAGACACTGGGACTACATATTTAGTCCTCAAGGAGTTCTGGGGGCTACTACTCACTCTGTAACCTCTATTGTTGGGGTAGAGGGTAAACCTTACCAACCCTTACAGACACCTAGCCTTGTTTGCACTTTTAGCTCTCTGATTTTTACCCACTCCTTTTTGGTCATTCTACAGTGCTCTGTTCCTCCTTAAGGGAAGGGACATCCTCACAAAATTGAGAGCTATGCTTTCCTTCTCCCCCTCATATACACTTCCATATAGACTTACCTGCCATTCCCCTGATCCTCACCCTTACCTTAGGACTATTCCCTATTCCATCTGCCAGTGTCTTCCCATTACCCCCTTACAAGGTGGACCCTACTGTCTGGGATGTTTCTATCACCTCACACCAGTAGCCCATTCACATCTCTCTTAAAGACCCCCTTCATTTTTTGGTCCAATCACAATACCCACTCTCCCCAAAAAAGCTCCTAGACTCACAACCTATCATTCAAGTCTTCTTGTGAAAGGGATTCCTTAGACCTTCTCATTCTCCTTATAACACCCCAGTCTTGGTAGTAAAAAAGCCTAATGGTTTCTACCACTTGGTCCAAGACCTCCATTCCATCAACTCTTCGGTCGTCACAATCCATCCCTTGGTAACCAGTCCTTATACCCGTCTTTTCACCGTTCCTTCTCAGTACTAGACCTGTAAGATGCCTTCTTCTCTATTCTCCTCTATTCTGACTCTCAAGATATGTTTGCCTTTACATGGACATACCCTGAGTCTTATAACTCCACTCAGCTGACATGGACAGTTCTCCCCCAAAGTGTTGAGGCAGCCCTCATATCTTTGGACAGGCCTTGGCTAAGGACTTTCTTTCTGCCCATGGCTACAGGGTTTCTCCATCCAAGGTACAGCTTTCCTTGGCATACCTAAGCCTCCTCCTGACCCCTACACACAAAGCCATTATGGTTGATAGAAAGATCCTTATCACTAAAATACCAATGCCCTCTACTAAGGAAGAAATTCTCTCCTTTCTAGGTATGGCAGGATTCCTCAGAGCTTGGATTCCTAACTACTCTGTATTGACTAAGTCTCTCTATGATGCAGCCCAGGCCCACTCTCTGAACTCCTATTGCACTCTGTTACAAAGGCCTTCACCTGGGGCTGGGGTTGTGGCTCAGAGGTAGAGTGCTCACCTAGCAAAGCCCTTCACGGGCTCCAGCAGGCCCTCCTCCAGGCCCCTGCTCTCCATCTCCCTGATCTCACATGACCATTTCACCTTTACATGACTGAAAATCAGGGATTGGTCTATGGGTCCTCAGACACATGCTGGGACCAACCTTTGCCCTTGTGGCTTATCTATCAAAGGGTCTTAACCCTACTGTTCGGGGATGGACCCCTTTCCTAACATTGGCAGCAGGCTGTCTACTCATTAATGAGTCAAAGAAACTCATTTGGGGCCCCACTCACCATCCTGTCTCCCCGTCACCTAAAGGATCTCCTCACCCACAAGGGCTTACATTTATTACCCCCCGTCACCTTTTATCTCTACAGATTTTCCTTTGTGGAAGATCCCAGTCTTACTTTCCACACATGCTCACCTTTAAACCCTGCTACTCTCCTCCCTGCTCCTCAGGACTCTTCCATCTCTTCTCTTACTCATTCATGCATTGAAACTCTGGAGGAGATTCTTCCACATCCCTCCCACATACAGGAAGTCCCCTTGCTCCAGGCAACACACACAGGGTTCACAGATGGCTCCTCGTTCCTTCAGGAGGGAGTTCCTTGGGCAGGGTATGCTATAGTCTCTCTAGCCTGGGTTGTGGAAGTGGCTCCCTTCCCCGATAATACATCCAATCAGCAGGCTGAACTTGTTGCCCTCATTAGAGCCTTCACTTTGGCAAAGGGAGCCTCCCTCAATGTCTACACTGACTCCAAATATGCTCTCCCACTCTGCTATTTGGAAGGAGTGGGATTCTTTGCCACCAAGGGAACTTCAATTACTAATGCCCCCTTTATCTCTGGTCTCCTTCAGGCCTCAAAGTTTCCCACTACCATTGGAACTTCACACTATAAATCCCATCACACTGACACCTCCTTTGTGATACTCAGCAACAAGGCAAACTCTGAGGCGAGGGCCCTCCAACAGTCTACTCCACCTGCAGTCCTCTGCCTTGCTAGTACCCTGATGGACTCTTCCCCACCGGACACTCAACAGATGCTTACCTTCCTTCACAATCTCTTTCACCCTAACACCACATCTTTAAAACAGTTTCTTATTTCTCACCTTAAACTCTCTCCAGAGAACCTATAATTTCTCTCTACCCTCTCTGCCTCCTGTGAAATCTGCCAAAAAACCAATTCCACCTCCAATGTCTGCCCACCTGCCTTCCCTTTACACCGGGCAAGAGGACATCTCCCTGGCTTTGATTGGCAGCTGGATTTCATTCATATGCCCCTGATCATTGTGCACAATGAAAAAAAAAAACATCAGTTGCAGTGGCAGAGCAGCAAGAGCTGTATTCAAAGCAAAAAGTGGGACTCTGTTACATTTGGGCTAGACGTCATTTGTGTTATCTTCTGTCTGAGAAGTTGTCTGCATTATGCCCATGTTCTCAGACTTTCTGTGAGGCTGATTTTAAGTGATGGATATCTTAATCAGGTGGAAGAAATGTCTAGGCAGCATAGCATTTAGGAGGTGGCAGCAACATTACTGGAAGATTTTAGCCAAATTTACTGTGACATGCAGAAGCAGAAAGCAGACCAGAAAGATTTTAAAACTTGAACTTCAAAGTTAGAAGTAAAATTGAGACTAAGGAAGTTGCAGTTCTTAAAGAGATTACAGCCAATAAATAAATGCTACAGACTTTGCCCAGCAAAAAATAAGAAAGAAGGTTTGCAGGCTTCTCAGGATCTGGCAATACCACACCCATCTCATGCTCAAGGGAGTAAAAGGGAAAATTCTCTGTAGAAGAGACCATCGGAGAATCTTTCTTGTGCAAGGAGGCCTAGAAAGTTTTAAAAATGTGCTCAGCCACCCAGACACAGAGGCTGCTGCAGCAAGGGTCTCTGGAGGCTTGGCTACTGCTCAATATGGCTGCAGACCTTGGCATCAACTACCCAGTGCTGGTTCTGCAGGAATGCAGGATGCTGGAGTTAGGGGGTCATGGAGACTTCCACCAAGATTTCAAAGGAAGTCCTGGGAGTACAGGCAGAGTGCAGCAGGGTCAGAGTTTCTGCAGGCAGCCCCTGAGAGGGCAAAGCATGGATATGTGAGGAGGAAGCTGAAGCTGAAGTGGAGGTCTCTGAGATTAAGAAATGCCAGTAATGTCGAACATCATGCTAAAGCTACAGGAATTGACCAGAGTCAAGGCAACAGAAAAGCCACATGGGCTACCACAACAAAGGCACAAAAAGGGGTGGAACTACACAAGCCTGTTGGAGGGGACATTATGCCATGTGCCCCAGATGCTGGTCACAGAACTATAGGACCTGTTTGCCCAGCTGAATTTTGGTCTTGCTTTGGTCCCATCCCTTCTTTTGACGTCTCTAATTTTGTAAATGAAAATGTTTACTCAGTACCTTTATATATTGGATATTTGTAAATTGCTTTTAATTTTATGGAAGCTCACAATGCAAGACTGCCTTGAGCCTCAGAGAAGACTTTGGACTTGAACTTTCAGCAATCTTGGAGACACTGAGACTATGGGGATTCTTGGGAATGGACTAAATGCATTTTGCATTGTCAGATGAGTGTGAGCTTTTGGGGGCCAGGGGAGGAATGTTACAGTGTGCATGTGAAGTGTCTCTCAAAAGCTTACATGTGAGATAATGTAAAAATGTTCAGAGAAGAAATGATTTGGTTGTGAGAGCCTTAACCCAATCAAAGAATTAATCCCTGATGGCATTAACTGGGTGGTCTCTGAAAGAGGTGAGCCATTGAGGGTGTGGCTTTGGGGAATGTATTTGAATCTGGTGAATAGAGTCTCTCTTCCCCTCCCTGCTTCCTAGTCATCATTTGAGCAGCTTTCCTCTGCCACATTCTTCTGCCATGATGTGCAGCCTCACCTCAAGCTCCTATGAATGGAGCCAACCGTCTATAAACTAAGACCTCTGAAACCTTAAACCCTGAAACAAAATTTTCCTCCTCTATAATTGTTCTGCTTAGGTATTTTAGTTAAAGCAATGAGAAAGTTGACTAAAATAATCCATAAATGTATTAATTCATTAAGAAGGTCAGAGTCCTTAAGAACCAATCATCTCCCCAAAGCCCTGCTTCTGAACACTGTTGCTTTGGGGACCTAGCCTTCAACACATGACCTTTGGGGGGGACATTTAAGATGCGAACAGTAACAGACTACCTTCTCTACATAATGTTTGGATGCAGGAACTTCTGCTGTGCCTTTAGAAAAGATCTCTGCCATGTGCTCAGATGTCTATCAGGATTCCATTAAAACCACCAGGACCTTCACACCTTCACCACAAAAGTGCACAGAAGTGAAACCCTCCCACAGCATTGCACCCATTTATTTCATGTCCAGAGCAGAGAGTAGGAGGGACTAGAAATTGAATATCTTAAAAAACAAAGTTAGAGGAAACACTAGGAACCATATAACTACTCCATTCTGGAGATGAGGACATACATATCTTTGAGTGACATGGCCTGAAGAGGGATGCTTCTCTTAGCTGAGGATTATGATCAGAATGTGCCACTGGGGCTGAGGATTCTTCCACTGGTAAGGTATTCACCTACAAATACCTGCAGCTTCCTTAGATGCATCAGAAGCAGCATGAAGGGTTCCCATCACATACCATGAGGCAGGTTGGTTCTGAGAAGCACTTTTAGCCTGTGGTTTAAAAGTCCCCTGAAGATGTCCACAAACATTATAATAACCAGGTTACCCTATAGCATGAATAGTAACAATTAAATATCACATCCATCATATACTTTGTTTCCAAATTTATTGAGCTGGTTCTTTCTTAATCTTCACAATGATTCTACAAAACACTAACCCCTGCCACCAGCCTATGTGACTACAGAAGAGAAGATGTTGGGAATTATACTGGTGCCGGTGCTTCTACAGGAGGCATGGAGAATGGAACAATGTCACTCCTGCTATTCTTCCCAGGCCATCAGGTGCAGTTTTACTCGCACTTGTCTGAAAATGATATAGTAGTTATTCCTGGGATATGAGGTGGATGTGGAGAGGGTGGGAGTTAATTTTTATTTTGCACAATTTTTGTTGCAATTGAATAAATTTTAATTATATATATATATATATATATATATTAATTATATATAATTATATATAACAAGGACAAGGAGAAGTTGTAGGAGGGAAGGGAGAGGAAGGGCTCTGTTCAGCTAGTCCTGTGCCCTGAGGCATATATATATCAGATTGAACCCTGGTAATAAGATCTCACCAGGACCTGGAAGCAAAATTCTCCATGGCAAAGAATGGAACTGAGCATCTCGCTAGGATTTGGGTGTTTGGGAAGGGGAGGACTGACTCAATGCATCCCAGGATGGTGCTGGTGCTTCCCCCTACTGGCCTAACCTACTGCCACCTGGTTTTAGACTGGGTGTAGCAATTCATCTTCCAACTTTATCACTGCTATTCTGACCATTCTCACGGCCCCAGCCTTCCCAGTGCACCCCCTACTCTAGGTCTTCACTGAAATCCTGTGGCATGAAGCACTGGATTTATAAGGCTGTCAGCAGGAGAAGGTGTCCTGTTGAGGACCATCCTCCTGTCCACACTGTGAGCCAGACCTGACTTCACAGAGCTGGTCCCTCATCACCTGCTGCTCCCAGGGTCCCCAGAAACATGCTGGCCATCCTTGCTCTCACCTGGTGAGTGTCCAGCTGGTGAAGGAGGAAGACTGGTCCCTGGTGCTGGAGAAGCAGGAGCAGGACAAGGAGAAGCTGCAGGAGGAGGGGAGTGGAAGGGCTCTGCTCAGCTGGTCCTTTGGCCTGAGGCCTGACTGGCAGAGGGCAAGACTTTCCAACCCCACACACTCTCCTAGCCTTGCTAATGTGGGTGTGAGGAGAGAAGTGCATTGATCATGTCAAGAAGTACATTGATCATATGCTGTTCAAGGATAACAAATTTTTAACCTTCACATTCTATCCTTTTCCATCTCCATAAAATCTGGGAAAATAAAATCTGCTTTGTTTTTTTAAAGCTGAGAACCATAGTTCTAATAAACAGGTAGAAGAGCTTCCTTTGGAGAATGAAATTATCAAGATTTTTCACCTGGAAGAATGGACCATTTGGGTTTTGTGTGATATTGCTGGGGAAAGTAGAGGAGTACACTCTGTAGAATGTTAGTGGAAGAGGGCACCTTGTGATACTTAAATACTGTGAGTTGTCTGATTGTATGTGTGTAAAGTGCTGAGACATATGCCTTGCTTACAGTAAAGCACTCACCAAGTGTTTATCATCATCATCTCACCATCAGCATTTTATTTCTACTCCAACCTTTCCATTTTGCAGGAGAGAAGACTAAAACCTAGAGATAAAGGATGTGCTATCCTAAGGTCAAAACAGTAGTTGTGACAGAGTTGAGATTACGAAGAGTCTACAGGACTCTAATGAAATGGCTCCTTCTGAAACAAAATCCTCAGGTGAGAAGAGCTTGGACAGACTCCTGTCCAACCACCTGCTGAAGTCGAATATCTCCCTTCACCTTCAATGTCCCAGCCATATGGTCATCACACCAGGGACACTTCAACATGTCTGTGGCTCCAGGAGCCTCCCTCCCCACTACCTTGAGCACTATTGATAAGGTCTCAGGTGACACTACCAATGCACCTACCGCTACTATTGATGAGGCAAGGAGCAAACCGATGACCAGTGTAGACCTAGTAAGATGGATTACTTCCTGGGGTCTTCAAATGTGGACAAAACCAAGTGCAGAGAGAAGTTTCCTGTGCAAAGCGGCAGAGTTATCTTTGGGGACATGCTTTATGAGAAAGGCCAGGCACATGACGGAGCAGAGAAGTTGGCAGCAGAAACAGAAGAAAACAGCAATATGTCCGATTACTGACACAAGAGAGGAGGCAGAAGTTCAGAGAGAAGGAGACAGGTGCCAGGTTGCGTGACTAAAACACTCAGAGGTCACTCCAGGGGAACTGGACTAATTGGGCTGTGCGAAATAACCACACAAGAGACAGAGAAAGCTTTTTTCCTTGAGGGTGCTGTGATGGCTCCTCTGACCTTGAGGGGGGAGAGGGGTGGAGCGCCTGCACATGCTGACCCATTTTATTGAGGAGAAGCCATTCAAATGAGGCAAGGGATCAGGTCAAGGGACTGTCCAGCTTCATGATGTCTGCTGTGAGCGGGTTGGCTGACATCTAGGAAGGCCACACCCAAAGGCAGAGTAAGAGAAGGGGACACACACAAGGCACTTCCATGGAACATTCTATCCCAAACCGGGCAAGGGGTAATATTACAAAGGAACAGGTGAGGATAGCTTCACCCACAGGGCTGTAGGAAAACACCCCCATGCACAAAGACACAGTCTGGGGCAATTGTCTTGGTTACCTAGGCAACCAGATCACAGAGTGACCCACAGTGTCAGCAGGGTAGACAGACACGGTCATTTGCTAGTCGGCCTCCCACAGACAGGGAGAGTGGAGCTCCAAGACGACTCTCTAGCTCCACAAGGCCCAGCTGTTCTCCCCCCAAATGCTCCCTGAATGACCCCAGTGTCCTGACAAGAACCCTCCAGTCTCAGGTTTCTCTCTGGGGCTTTTCCATTTCTTCCCTGCTCCTTCCTCCTCCCCATTCCTCTCACTCACCTTTCTTTGGCTTCAAAAAAAGAAACACCCCCAGCTGTTTTGAGTGTCAAGAGGCTGTTTTCTAATGACACAGGCTGTGTCCTGGCAGCCAAGGATATAAAGACCATTGAGCACATGCAAGAATGTCAGTGGCCTGACAGCTTGTATCTTCACCCCCTCCTCTCACCTACTTCTCATCTCAGCCCTTGACTTCACTCTGCCCTGTAGAGATGGCATTCCACCCACTCCATACCCCACACCTTCCCACAGAGACCAAGCTTCTAGAATGTCAGTTCCAGGCACTTACAGAGTGACATCAGCAATTCCATCCCAGTCTAGAATTCTTTGGGCAGAGGCTAGTGAATGGGGTGTGGGTGCCCAAGGTCAAAGCTCAGGATCTGGAAGTAGCAGGCAGTGGGGGCAGGGGAGAGTATTTTCAATACACCATGCATTTCAGAACTCAGGCTTTGGAGTTTACCACATAGCTTCATACAGCAGAGTCCACCACTGCCAAGTCATTTAAGTTTATTACATCCTTGTTTCTTCCTCATCAAAAGGGGAATACTAACGGTACTTTACCATCTGTTGTTCTGCAGATTGAGTTAAGTAACACCAGGACAGCCAGCATAGTATAAGCACAGGTCAGTGCATTATAGTACTGACCTTTGGCCATCATCATACTCTCAGCATGAATAAACCACCCCACAACACAACTTGAAGAACTTGGCTCTCTGCCATCCAACATTGTCTTGTCAATTAGGATATAAAAAGCTCAAAAAGTGAGTGGGCCATTCTCAGAAAGCCCCCGAAAGACATTGCCTCCTTCTGTGGTTAGCCTTTATTAGGGATTTTCCCTGATGCATCTCCTGGGGTGGGGTTTCCTGTGTGCTGAAGAGAGTTGCCCCCAGTGAGTTCAGCAGATGTGGCCCTTAGCAACCTTCATTGCAACCCAGAGGAACAAGGCATGTTCTGTCCGAGGAAGAATGGATCTGAAGCCCTGGAGGTGGGAGGAGGCTCTTCCAGATATTCTTTCCTTAAGGGCTCTGCCTCAGCCTTGGGGATAAGGGCTGCTCCCCAGACACGCCACCTATGACTCTTTAGAGCTCTTTCCCTCTCAGTAGATAATCACTGTTAGAGTTAATAATTCCTCATATTAAACATGCCTCTATAAATTACTCCATGGTTGGAGTCTCCTGACTGGACCTAGGCTGAAACCACTGCTCTCCAAATCATCATTCTGTATTGTTTTGGTATAGCCAGTGAGTAACTCATCAAAAAAAAAAAAAATGCCCCTTCCTAATGGATACTCCTCAGTGTTTCCTAAAACCATCAGTAAGGCAGGCATAGTACCTCAGGTCTGTAATCCCAGTAGTTAGGGAGGCTGAGGCAGGAGGATCACAAGTTCAAGACCAGCCTTAGCAACTTAGTGAGGCCCTAAGCAAGTTATCAAGACCCTGTCTCAAAAATAAATAAATAATTTCTTCTTAAAGGACTGGCAGTGTAGCTTAGTGGTAAAGTGCCCATGGTTCAGGTCTCACTATCAAAAAAATTTTTTTTTAATAAAAGGTAAACTGTGGGCTGGGGCTATAGCTCAGTGGCAGAGCACTTGCCTAGCCTGTGTGAATGACTGGATTCCATCTTTAGTACCACATAAAAATAAATAAAATAAAAGCATGCTGTCCATCTACAACTACAAAAACAATATTAGAAAATGCAAAAAAGTAAAAACTTGTAAGTACATATGACCTAGTATTTTTCATAAGGTTATTCCACTATTCACGTTCATCTGAAACACATGAGATCACCTGTACAGGTAGAAGTTATTGCCCCTGTAAAACTCAACACAGGAAGCCTACTCAGGAGCCCAAGGAGCACTCTTGTTTCCTCTTGGAGTTCTCTCAATTGGTCTTGAAAAACCAATTCAAGAATCTTTGCAGAAAAAAAAAAAAAACATTTTTTTCCAGGTCTCCTATCAAGAAGACTTCGGTAGTCCTTATAGAATTCTCCTCTAAACCAGCATTTCTCAATTTCAGATGATTTTATCCATCAGTGGAACTTTTGGCACATTCTGAAGGCAAATTTAGCTATTACAACTGAGTAGAGGGTGCTATTCTTCTGGTGAACCAGGTTTGCAGCCCCAACCAACTTACAAAGCACAGGGCAACTGAACATGGCTACAAACTATCTGACCCAAATGACAGTAATGATCAGGCTAAGAAACCTCTCTGAATTTGACTGGCCAGTGCCCATTTCTATTCTTTGAAGATGTTCCTGTTATACATAACACTTTTCCCACACACATAACACAATTCCAACAGTGGTCAGTCTAATGGTATGCACATTCATCATAGCCCAGGAATGGAACTTATTTGCCCAGAAAATGGGAACTCACTGAGAACAGTGAGGACTGTCACTATCCTGGCTCTCCCCAGGGACACTCCTGTGTTTCTGTTACCAGGTCTATTCTCTTCCTCTAAGTCCAAGATTCACTCCACTTGGCTGAACACTAGAATTCTTGTCTCTATTAAAGTTAGGCAGAAAATCATTCAGTGCTTGAAGTTGCCAAACATGAGTGGTAATACAAGAGAGGCACCCAGCCTGAAGCAATGGATGGTGACCAGGAAAAAATGGAAAGGACCAGACACTGAAGGGATGGTTTATAACCAATTATTGTAATCTCTGACTGTAAAATTGACTCATACTGACCATGGAAATTTGAAAATTATGGATATATAAATAACAAAATTAACTTACATGTACATTAACAACCCAAAGATAATTAGTGTGAGTGACATTAGGAAGATAGCCATGTAGGAGTGCTTCAGCTTCATCCTGCCCCTCCCATACAAATTCACCCAGTAAACATCCACAAACAAGAACACTACCCTAGGTGTCCCCAAAACTCAAGAGTGACCAGAGTCAAACATTTGAATCCAGAAAAGCAGGGCTCAATCAGTAAGAGAGACCATTTGCTTTTCCCATGTTCTCCCTCCCCCAGTTGGAATGAAACCACATATAGCAGATCCCCCTACACACAAGGGTTTCTACAGTGGAAAATGTGAGGTGAAGATGGACATTCAGCTTCACCACCATTCTGGAGCCCTTCACAAGAGGCAGACCCCTATCTTGCCCCACAAAAAATATTAAGAGCACTTGCAGAACTTGATCAACTGTAGCAACTATAAACAAAAAAAGAGGAGAACTCACAGCAAAAGATGTACAAATCTTGGTGGTTGCTCTATGCTCTGGCCCAGGGAACACTGTAAACTTTTGACCTGTGGCAGCTATAGCAATTCTGGGCACATAGCGCTACCTAGTGACCAATCCAGATAGTCTGATGGGACTTTCTGAATAGGATGCCTCTTGGAAAACCTCACAGGACAAAGTTAACTAGGAAGAATGGAGTAAGTATACATACTTCAAGCTTTATAGTGTACATGACAAATATACACAATATTATCTGTCCATTTTTTTAAATAACAAAAATTAAAGCCTCAGCCAATTAAAACTAAAAGAGAGGCAGGTGTGGTGGCTCATGCCTGTAATCCCAGCAGTTCTGGAGGCTGAGGCAAGACTGTAAATTCAAAGCCAGCCTCAGCAGTTTAGTGAGGCCCTAAATAAGCAAGTTAGTGAGAACTGTCTGTAAATAAAATATGAAAATGGCTGTGGATGTGGCTTAGTGGTTAAGCACCAAGGGTTCAGTCCATGCTACACAATACTATATATATATATAAAAGCAGGGCCTGTGGCATCCACTCTGAGGATACAGATGCTTATAGGCACAGTGCGATTCCAGAGCCAGCAGTAGAGATGTGGCTATTGTGGTGAGATACTGATTATGGTGGTTTTATATATATATAAATAACATTGAATAATCAAACAACTAAAATATAGCCTATAGACTGCATAAATTGTTTCCCCCATACAAGCCTGCACCCTCTGGTATTAGCCACACACTTAAGATAAAATGTTTTATGGAATTATTTCTTATCCACCCAGGGAGTCTTAACTCAGTTTTAACACATGGGATATTTTGTTGCTTTTATGCTCAAGAGGAATACTGTCATATATTCTTGTGGAGAAAAGTTGTAACAGTTTGCATTCATGCCATAGAGTTCCCCTTGCCAATGCTGGGTCTTACCAATTACAAGTTTTTACAAATTGTTGCCCTCCATGAAATCATGCACTTTTCAATTGTATCAATTTGCACAATAATTTATTCTAGGAAATTGTATACAGGTTTATACACATATAGTTATTGTAACATTTTCTTTTTGTTAAAGTAAATAATGGAAGACCATATTTATCTTCATCAACAGACAATTAGCTGCATATAAATCTGACAGTCATTTTATAGCTTGCCATTCAGAGTGAAAAAGAAAAGTACCTGTACAATGCTCTAGTCTGGGAGGACCTTCAAGGTGCATTATTTTAAGATATAAACTGAAAGTAGCTGAATGTGTATGGGCTTATATTTGCTTTGCAAATAAGCATTAAACATAGACACAGCTCTCTTTTTCCTAGGGAGAACAGTGTTCTCATAACCTATTCCAAATTTTTCTGTTTGTAGAAAAAAATAAATGTATTTGAAAAGCCACAACAATGGGCTAAATCTGGAACCCATGGTTGAAATCACTACAATCTTACTGCCTTTATGGTAATTGTTTATTTAGATATACAGGTAAAGGTATACAGATAAACTGTACTTTTGTGGCTATCCTAAATTAATAAGCAAGATACAGTAATCGGCTGGGGTTGTGGCTCAGTGGTAGAGTGTTCACCTAGCACATGTGAGGTCCTGGGTCAGTCAGAATGGCAGCTATTATGAAGACAAACAGCAATAAGTGTTGGTGAGGATGTGGGGAAAAGCTACAGTCATACATTGCTGGTAGGACAGCAAATTGGTGCAGCACCACATAAAAATAAATAAATTAAATAAAGGTGTTGTGTCCAACTACAACTAAAAAATAAATATTTAAAAAGAAAAAGATATTATTTTTACAGGTTTTCAAACCATAACTAAATGGCATTTCAACTGCAGGGTGGACGGGGAAACAGGAGCAGGACATCCACTCTTTATTCTTTCTACTCTACCTTCTATATGATAGAAACCATAAAAGCTACTGCATTTCTCAGACTCCTTTGCAACCTAACTCCTGGAGGTGCTTTGGATTCTGTGAATCAAAGGTGGCAGAACTGGAGCAGAGGCCAGGCATCTTTGTTCCTGCTGCCACACTGGTTGTGAAGACATGTGGTTTCTTTGCTGTACCATTATCAGAGGTCCTGGGCTGTGATCACTGGCTTGGAAGGGTTGAGAGCAGGACCTGTGGCATCCTCTCTGAGGGTACAGATGCTTACAGGCACAGTGCGATTCCAGAGCCAGCAGTAGAGGTGTGGCTATTGTGTTGAGATACTGATTATGGTGGTTTCCTAAGTTTCCTTGATAGCTTGATATCAGCAGTCTTTTAACCACAAAAGAGAACCCTCCCCTAGTTACTCATGCAGGTTTGGATAGCTTCCTGGGGCAAAACAAAAAGATATCGTTTGTTTTGGAGTTTAGCTTTTTTATTTTTTATATACCCTAGAGACTAGTGCTCTACCTGATGTGTGAGGGGTAAAAATTTGCTCCCAATATGTAGATTCTCTATTCACCTAACGGATAGTTTATAGATCGTTTCTTTTGCTGAGAAGAAACATTTTAGTTTGAATCCATCCCATTTATTGATTCTTGATTTTAATTCTTGTGCTATAGAAGTCTTATTATTTCAATCCTGTCAGAATGGCAGCTATTATGAAGACAAACAACAATAATTGTTGGTGAGGACGTGAGGGAAAAGGCACACTCATACATTGCTGGTGGGACAGCAAATTGGTGCAGCCAATATGGAAAGAAGTTATGGAGATTTCTTGGAAAACTGGGAATGCAATCACCATTTGACCCAGCTATCCCCCTCCTTGGTCTATACCCAAAGGACTTAAATACGCCATACTACAGGGACACAGCCACTTCAATGTGTATAGCAGCATAATTCACAATAACTAAACTGTGGAGCCAACCTAGATGTCCTTCAATAGATGAATGGATTAAAAAATGTGGCATATATACGCAATGGAATATTACTCAGCACTAAAAGAGAATAAAATCATGGCATTTGCAGGTAAATGGATAGAGTTGGAGAAGATAATGCTAAGTGAAGTTAGCCAATCCCCCCTCAAAAAATTGTCAAATGTTTTCTCTGATATAAGGAGGCTAATTCATAGTGGGATAGGGAGGGGGGATGGGAGGAATAGACAAACTCTAGGTAGGGCAGAGGGGTGGGAGGGGAAGGAGGGGCCATGGGGATAGAAATGATGGTGGAATGTGATGGACTTCATTGTCCAAAGTACATGTATGAAGACATGAATTGGTGTGAATATACTTTTTATACAACAAGAGGTATGAAAAATTTTGCTCTGTATGTATAATATGATTTGTAATACATTCTTCTGTCTCATATTTTAAAAATCAATTAAAATTTTAAATATAGAAAAAGAAAATATACAGAAGCTGTAGATCAGAATTCTAACAGAAGTCTAGTGCATGTAACAAATGTAATTTAAAACTTCAGTAACATTAAAAATTGTAAAAATAATTTGTAAATAGTTTCCTTTAACTCAATGTATTTCAATTGGTATTTTTACTTAATCCTAATGATTTCAACACGTACTCACCACAGGCCCCATCTCCACTTCTTTGACTCTCAGAGCCCAAGCCATCCTCTTCCCACCAAGGGCTGCCAACAAATGATGAATCTGTGAAAAAAAAAAAAAAATAGGCATTGCTTGCAGTGCACTCGGACTCAGCCATGGAACACTAAAGACAGGGACACTACATGTTATATATAATAGGGAAGATGCATATTTTTGAGCAAGAGTGGAGACCAAAAAAATTGTAAGGAAGAATTCTTATAAAATAAAAGAGGGGAAAGGAAAAATTCAAATAGTCCTTGGTAAGGATGTTCTACAAACTGAAATCATATAGAAGGCAAGTATATTCCTGTGAGATGAGGATTACTGATATAAAGAGATATGAATATTTTGATGGTAACAAAAATGGAGAGCTGGGATTGTGGCGCAGTGTTAGAGTGCTTGCCTAGCATTTGTGAGGCACTAGGTTCAATTCTCAGCACCATGTATAAATAAATAAATAAGGTCCATTGATAACTAAAAAACATTTTAAAAAATGGAAAGCAGACTTTGAAATGAGAAAATTTTTAATATAGTGGGAGAAAAAAAGAAAAAAAGTCTTATGGATTTAAAAAAGGAAAATAAAACTTATTATCTGCTTATTTAAAGGTCAAATTCATTTTGTGGCACAGGACTAACAAAGAAAAATATTCTCATGAAAAATGCTTGTTGTTGGCTTCTCATTTTATGTTCAAACACTTTTTTTAGATAAATAAATATTAATTCACTCTATTTTTAATTCTCATCCAGTAATGCAGGCATCAGAGGCTTCAATATTCTTCATCATTGTTGCTGGTGTTGCTGGTTAGTTTGTTGGGGGAGTAGGAACCTTAGGCTAAATGGTTTGCAAAACAAGATTCACCACAGTGAATTCCTACATCGGTATAACCACAAGACTAGGATCCTAATTAGAGTAAGTTGTAGTCCATGTTTGCATAAGTATGTCCAATTACACTGAACTGTCATGTAAACTAAAAAGAACAAATAAAATAAATAAAGAAGAAGAAGATTTGAAGTAAGTTTGTTTCCAGTAGGAATATTTCCTGCTCCATTGTTGCAAGGGTCATATGCCAGCCAGACAGGGAACAGTCAGCTATATTGTTTCTAGGTAAAAAAAAACGCTCCCCTGGTAGTAAACATCCAAGCATCCCATGAGGTGGCTCCAGTAATAAGTATTTCCTTACTCATTTGTACTCTTTTTTTTTAAGAGAGAGAGAGAGAATTTTTTAATATTTATTTTTTAGTTTTCGGTGGACACAACATCTTTATTTTTTTTTTTATGTGGTGCTGAGGATTGAACCCAGCACCCCATGCATACCAGGCAAGCGCACCTCCGCTTGAGCCACATCCCCAGCCCCTGTACTCTTAAAGGTACAATTCTCCTGACTTTTTATATTATTTCCTGGGTACCATTCCTTATGTGAAATCCAAAATTGATGATTTCTTTTCAAAGGCAAAAATGTTACTATACTTCACACAGTGTAAGTCTAATCTTTAAAAATGTTTACATCTATTTATAATTTATGCATTAAACTTCTGTTATTTATAAAATATCTCATATCTGATTAATTTAGTTGACAGTATGACTAGTGTTAAAGCTTGATTAGCACATGCTTCCAGTGACTGAAAATGATTGTATGTTTGATTAAAATGCCCATCTTAATTACAATAAATCTAGGATAACATGGACTGGTTTTATGGAATCTGTAAAATTCTGGAAGTGAAAGTGAACTTAATATAGTCCCAGCATTCATTTTGTCTAAAAACTAAAGTGTTTTTACTGAAGAAAAAATTAGTTTTTCTTCCACTCTGCAAACCTGAAGATACAGCTGCATGGAAATATGATATTCAAAATTTACAGATTTGGGGCTGGGGTTGTGGCCCAGTTGTAGACCACTTTCCTAGCATGTTCGAGGCACTGGGTTCAGTTGTCAGCACCCACATATAAATAAATAAAGGTCCCTCAGCAACTAATAAAATATTTTTAAAATGAAGAAGAATATTTGCCCCTTAAAATCCAAGTTGGGGAAAAAAAAAAGATCCAAGTTGGCAGTAGAGAAAAGGAAGTCAGAGAAAGAGAGGATGGAAGGACATAGAAACAAAACCTACCAAATCATGCTATGCTATGTCCATGTAAGGATGGACCACAATGAATCCTGCTTATATAGAGAATTATAATATTCTAATTAAAATAATAACAATAACAAAAGGGATATTAGTCAAGAGCAACTGGGTCAGGAGGAAGGGGAGGCAATAAAAAGGAAGGTTCTGGGGGAAAAGATTGATCAAATAACTTTATCTGCATGTACAACTATAGCATAATGAATCCCATTATTATTATAATTGTAATGCACCAATAAAGTTTTTAAAAAGATCCAAGTTGAAAGTACTTTGCAGAAAGCACTCCAATTATAAGATAAAAGAGAGAGAGAGAGAGAGAGATTATGACTGTGAGCCAGGTCCATGCCTGTAATCCCAGTGGCTCAGGATTTCGAGTTGAAAGCCAGCCTCAGCAACAGTGAGGCGCTTAGCAATTCAGTGAGACCCTGTCTCTAAATAAAATACAAAATAGGGCTTGGGATGTGGTTCAGTACTTGAGTGCCCCTGAGTTCAACCCCTGGTGCCAAAAAGGAAAAAAAGAAAAAAACAACAACAGATTATGACTATGAACAACAAAGGGGAAGAGAGTAAAACTGAAAACAGAAAATAACCCAGATATATAATTAATATATATATAATAAATAACCCAATACCATATAATATATATAATTTTAAAACCCAGATACACAATTCTGAGTAGTAGCAGGGCAATGGGGCTGAAGGCAACACACAAAAGGGATGTGAAAATATGCCAGATACATTCAATTAGGGGCAAAGCAAAATTAATGATAAATGCAAATAAGCATTGGTGTTGGTCATAAATGAAGGACAACTAACACAGGTGAAGGACAACTAACATGACAAGTAACTCATGAAGCAGCAGAAGAAAATTCCATATAGTAACCAATACACAAAGTCAGAAAAGGCCTGAAATGCACAATAAATGGAAAATATGATGACAAGAAAAAGTCCAAATATTTAAGAAAAAGTCCAAATATGCAACCCATATAATTTACTAACCTCAGCAATGAAAGACATAAAATGCTCAGGCTGAATTTTTTAAAACTCTAACAATGTGCATCGTTTTTTACAAGATCCCTGTAACACGAAAAGAAATTTTTTAAAAAACTTTTTCAAAAATAATGTATCATTCAAGACAGGCCAGGTTTAACTGCAGAAATAAATAATTAAAAATTCAGAGGCTGAGAATATTTACTGTACCCTAAGTATGGTTGTGATAATAAATTTTGTTTTATCTTCACCAAAATTTTTTTTTAATTATTTCTTTAAAAAATTCTTTATTCATCGAGGGTTGTAAAAGCTGTCCTTCGCAGACTCTTTGTCCCATGTACCTGCTATGTGCCCCGCACCAGGTGATAAGAAGATTCTGCACATTAAAATAAAGAACAACATTGAGAACCTTGTTTCTTAAAGTCATGACTGTGATTTTGCTGCTGAGGTTTGGCACCTCCCACTCCCAGTCTAAGCAGCTGTCCTCCCAGGCATCTGCTGGCTGAGGATTCATAAGGCTCAGTAACACTGGGCATGGTGGTGTAACCCCAGCAGCTTGGGAGTGTGAGGCAGGAGAATTGGAAATTAAAAGCCAGCCTCAGCAACTTAGCAAGGCCCTAAGCAACTCAGCAAGACCTGTCTGTAAATAAAATATTTTTTAAGAGGGGCTAGGGATATGGCTCGGTGGTTAAGCAGCCCTGGGTTCAATTCCTGAATGAATGAATGAATGAATGAATAATATAAGACTCAGCAGCACCTCTTTGTTTAAGAGTTAAGGTCCTTGGGCTGGTGCTGTAGCTCAATGACAGATCAGTTCCTAGCACTCTGGAAGCTCTGGTTTCAATCTCTAGCACTTCCCCCCAGATGTGCTGCTGGCACAATCCATGTCTCCCTGCCCTGCAATAGTATATATTTCTGTGTTTAAACAGAGATTCAAACACAAATGAAAGCACAATGGTTGGAAACTGTTGGTCCTCGGAATCATAAAAGCTAAAACGCAAGACAGAGGAAGGTTTTGGAAAGTGGGAGAACTGTGTTCTCCTGCATGAGCGTTTGTCTTAATGCCAAAGCAGTTAGAGAGGGCTAAAGCCAGCAGCCAGAAGGCAGCAGGAGTTGCTGGGGCCTCGCTGGCTTCCCGCCATCGCAGGAAGTGGAACCCTGGCAGAAGACACACATAGGGCAGACAGCATAGGACAGAACAGCAGAGCACGGTGCAGCTGAGGAAAAACTCAGGTGGGCCAGAAAGAGAGTGTCCAGAAGAGGGACCTGGGGCTTTAAAGGTGCAGCTGCACGACTCTCAGTGCTCCAGAGCTCTTACCCCTGGCAGGTGCGGTCCTTGCTATGCTCATTGGCATCCAGGCTCTGATCCTGTTTGACTTTCTTCAGGCCACGCAGACCCTTGAGTTGCGTGACCCAATCTACCAGAACACCTCCTTTCCTTCCTTAGTTCCCAGTCTTGGCCTGTGGGCTATGTCCCTGTCCTCCACCCTTCGCTCGCCCTCCACCCCTCCCCCGCCCAGCCCTGGCAAAGGGAGCCAAAATGTAAGGGCATAAGGGCAGAATGTTGGGAGGGATCCTGAGAGAAGAAGGGCTTATGCCAAAAACTCAGTCCCTGTCCCGAATGCTAATCCAATAAAGAGGACAGGTTTTGATATGGTTATTTCAATTTCACAGGGAATGAGATAGCTACTGGCCTTTTGAGAATCCTAACAGTGTGTTCCGGGCTCTGCCATATGGTTCAATTGATACAGTACTGCAACATACAGTTTTCATATTTACATAATATATATTCCATGAGGCATTATAGTGTGTGTGTGTGTGTGTGTGTGTGTGTGTGGTGCTGAGTATTGAACCCAAAGCCTTTTGCATGTAATGCAAGCACTCTACTAACTGAGCTATATCCCCAGTCCACTTATATTGTATTTGAATGGACCCAGATACTAAAATAGAGGGATTTAATATACATGTTGTGTGAGGTGGAATTCTTTCTGAAGAGAAGAGTTAAGAAAGATAACATTTTTTGATTTCCCATATGGACACTCACCATTCTAGCCCCTAAAAACTCCTGAGTTAAGCCTATTTCCCATACAGAGTTCTGAAATGGCCCCAAAATCCATTCTCATGGTGGGAGGTGATAATTCCCCCTTGTATTAGTACATAAAGGTTTTGGAACCTATGTTATTTCTATAAACGTGAGTTAAATCATCCACATGAAAGAATGTCCCACCTATATCTCTAGATTGAGTATCCAGGAGGAGTGGCCTGTGGTAGGGGTAGTTAAAATGACTTCCAATGGGCCATCCCATTTTCCTTTTAAGGGGCTCTGCATTGAGGAGGGGAAAGGTAGACTAAGTCCTCTACTGAAATAGGACTTTATGGGTCTCTGAAGATTGGAGCTGGGGAAGATGAGTGTGGGCATATTTCCAGAGGGCAGCCCTAAGGTAAGCTAAGAGAGTTTTAAGATATCAAGAGGAACACTAGGTAAATGAGGTTGAATGGTGGGGGGAAGGAGGGGTCACTCATACATAAGTTCAAAAGGGCTGCTTATGAGAGGTGGTTTTTTGTTTGTTTGGTTGGTTGATTTTTGGTGGATTTTGTTTTGTTTTGTTTTTTGCTTTTAGCAATGCTCAGATTTGGAGAAGGGCCAAAAGGCCAAAGCTCAGTCCAATCCAAATGAGTATCTATAGATAATTTGGTTAAGGTTGCCTTTGGTTCTATTAATCCTTCCAACTTTTCCTGGTTTCTATGGATGATATATGGAATGTGGAAGTTCCATTTTATATTTAAAATTTTAGCCAATTCTTGGGTAAGAGAGGAAGTAAACTCAGGGCCATTCCTGGACTGGAGGCAGGCAGGTAAACCAAAGAGTGGAATTATTTCCTGGGAAAGTAGGGTTGCTATTGTGAAAGCCCTCTTATTGCTAGTTGGAAAAGCTCTGACCCGTCCAGTAAATGTGTCTACCAAAGCCAGACTGAAGCACTTGCCTTGTGGAACTTTATGCACTATTGGAGAATGTCCTGGGTCAAAGAGATGCTCTTGAGTTATTAATCTCAGCTTTACAAATCAATGATACAAAGGAATCATGCAACATCTTACTACCAGGAGACCATCTTATCACTTACCAAATCTGTCCTTCCAGAATACCATCCAAGACACACAAAAAAGACCAAAATGGTATGATAAATACACATAAAATGAAAAGACCCAACTGCTATGTGATACTACTCTCGGTAATGTCTGTGATGGGTGAAAACACCTTTAGAAAAATATTAGTGTCTAAAGATTCAAAATGAATCAACAGTATTGGATAACAATATAATTCTCAACTCGAAAGCTGCCTCAAGATTGGGGGCATCTTTCATTAATGTAACAGGAAAAGAAGGCCATGGATTTCATTTTATTAATTGTATCCACTCACAATCTACCTAAGGTCACCAGTTGTGTAGATACAGTGAGATTTTTGTTGTTGTTATAGTCTTTAATTGAAGTGATGATAAAGGAAATAGATCTATTTAACAACAAAACCAAATTGCTATTTCTGTCTATATTAGGAGGTGGCACCAGGTGTGGGATTCACATTTTGAGTGGCCACTTGTGGTGCAACTTTGATAATCCAGGTTTACCTATGATTCTGACAGTACAGTTGCTCTTCTCTACAATCCCAATAATCCATGCTTGGTGACCTTCACCATACTTGGGGGACTTTATTTCAGCACAGACCAAGCAGCTTGCTCATGTGGTAAACATATTAGAAGGCCTCCTGATGTCTCTGGGCAGGTTCCATGCATGAGACCATAGGCCTTGCTCACAGCAGCCATCTTGACCAGCACAGGGAGGTTATGAATCAAAGAACATGTCATTTGTCAGTTGCTTGTCCAGATTCTGAGCATGGTGCAAGATCCCAAAGCCTGTGATGTCAGTGGCTGCGTGGACATTGAACGTGTGCATGAGTCTGTCCTGTAGGTGTCCGGTTGAGCCGGGCCGTATTCATCACTCCTTCTTGGTATGCCAATTCTACATTTTCTTGGGTGACTACTAGCTTAATTTTATTCCACTTTTCAGGAATATCCAGCCACTGGTGCACAATAACAGGGACTTGTGTCCCCAGAGGTTTTGTCAACACAAGCACATCCCCTGGTACTGCGTTATCTGGCATGATAAATTCATTAGGCTGGCAGACAGTTGTAGCAACTTCTCCCAGAACAAGCCAGGGGTTTAATACTGTTTGGCCATCAGCTACAGACATCCCTGCTTCCTCAGCTGCATCTTTAAAACCCTGTATAATTAGGGGCATCACTTTATCCCTTTCCTGTCGGTCATTTTATTACTGACTACAAGGAGCATCAGTGTATTGTCACATTCTGTGCCCCCATTCCATAGAGGTCATGCTATTCTGAGGACATTGACACATGCTATTTTGCCCATCATGTAAGGGTCATCTACAATAGGATAAATGTGATCTGTGGTTTGAACCAAGGAAAGGCCACTATGCCTCAAAGGAACGAGGCAAGTATCCATTCTGATGCCAAGCCTTGGCATAACAGCTCCCAGAAACTGTTCATCTTCTTGGAAGTGGTTCTCTTGTAAAGACTCCAGCAACTTCTGCAGGACATCTTGAGGCACTTTGCAGCCTGTGCCCTTCAGTTCAGTAAACCTGGTTAACCGGAAGCTCTTATCCAATTCATAACTTTCCGGGTTAAAGGACTCCCAGATAGACATGGTTCCTTACAGGTTAGCCCCTTCCCTCCCTCTCTCTTGTTTGGCTGGGATTTTTACTTCTGATCCACCTACCTCCAGGCCTGGCATGTGCAGAGGGGTGGACATTGTGGCATGTGCCCAGGATCCAGGCGCTCTCCATGAGGCCCATGGTACAAGCAGCCCATCCCCAAGGACTGCACTTGGAACACCTTGAGTCTCAGGCTGCGTCTTTAGAGGCACAACAGGCCCATCCTGCTCTTTCTGTGGCGCTATGCTGCTGGCTGGTGGCAAAGGAGGAGAGGCACTGCCAGCTAATCCCTGCCAACTCAGGCCATCCCAGGTGGAGTGGCGGGTGGCAGGAAGCCCCAGGGGCCCACAGGTGCTGAACTGGTACCTGCCTCCTACTGGACAGGCAAGGCGCCCAGATCCAGCGGGCCTGTAGGGCTAGGTGCTGGTAGGTGCTGTACCCAGACAGGGAGCTGGCTGTGCACAAAAATGTTGGCAGCCAAAAAAAAATTAACCCCTGCGTGGCCACCCTCCCCCTCACTCCTCCCCTGGTGCCTCATTCTTGGTCTGTGGTCCCTGGCCTTGCTGGCCTTTTCTGCTATACAATGCCCTTTACAGTGTAAGACTGTCTCCTTGTGGGGCAAATTTTTATGTAGCTAGTATTAAAGGGGTTCTTTTCTGAGTTAGGAAGCCCCTCTCCTTCCAGATTAAAATGTTAGAATAAATAATATTGTATATGTATTTGGAATATGTAAAATATTGACTGATTTTTCCCTGGCTAATGATAAAGCTTACATGAGGGCTGTAATGACACCCGCTTCCTCCACAGAAAAGTCTTACCTGGGCTTCTCTAGAAATCTTCACCATGGCTGATTATTAGGACTGTCAGCAAAAGAGTCTCTACCAAAGAGTTCAACGTAGATAAACTTCCTATTTTCGTGTTGCCCTGTTTTACTTGCTTGGCCACTGGCCAGGAAGAAATCAGCACTCCAGGTGCTGGACACCCCCTTTACTAGTTTTTCACAAACATGTATCCAGTACAGTAGTTTGTAGAAATATGTAAACAAAAGCCTCTGGCCTTGAGCTGTGCTTCACCAAGTGTGATAAGGAAGACAGATCCTTTAACAAGGCCTCTGGTCTTGAGCCAGAGCTTCACAGAGATGTCTAAATTTCTAAGATAAGAGAAGTTAGCAACTGGGCTCCATGGTAACAGCTGGCAGGGGGAGGAAAGAAAGGGGAGAAGAAACTCTCCCCTTCTCAGGTGTTGTCCTTGAAGGGTTAACTTGCCCAAAACAGTGAAAGAAAAAAAAAATGCTTTTATGGGAACTTCTGCTGACTGTGAACTTCTGAGACCCTCCCCTTATATGCTGGGTATAAAATTCTGGAACTACCTGAACTCGGGGTTCAGTGGGTTGATTGATTACAGCAAAAGCTGTGCCCTCTGAACCTGGCTGCAGCCAATTAAAACTGTTTCCTGCTATCTTCGGTTCCTTGCCTTGTCTGTCCCTGCAACAGGGCCACTAACTCAGCTTGCTGTGAGGTGGTCTCTGGGAATAGGGAGATAATTCTAATATCTGGGTAAGGAACAGAAGAATCTGCTGTAACTTTTCCTTGAATTATAGCATAACCAGCAAAATAAGGGGGATGTTTCTGAGAGTTTCTAAGTATGAACCAGTCAAGGGAGTAAGGTAATTGCTGATCCATTATGTGAGAAAATTGACTCATCAAAAAGTCCAGAAAGTCTGAACAAGAATGAGAAATTATAGGAGCAGAAGGGTTTGC